TATATATATATATATAACAGACATTATCAGATATTGATAGGAGAAAATTTTGAAATAATATAAGTAGAACAAGAAATTACATTTAGAAATTTTCAAGTGTGTTTGTTACAACCTAACAAAATTATCTTAAATTATTGATTAAAAAATGACGTGTTATTCTTAGAAAATCATGTTAACCTATTAGCCATTTGATGTGATGTAGTGTTAGTTTATTTAAATCATTTATTTCTTCAAAATATAAAGTTGACATATTCAAATAAATATAATTATTATTATAGCCGTTTTGGATTTTTACTACAATATTTTATCATTATATATTATTTATCCTATTTTAAGACCTAGTGTTGTCATCTATTTAGACTCATTGAGTTATTTAAAAGTCTGAGAATTTATATAGAGGCAGGTTCATTAGTTTTTTGTTTTGGATATAGGGTAGGCTTATTACTTTAGTTAAAAGTTTCATTGCAATGTAAGTCTTCAACTTTCTCAATCAAGTCCAACCTTTAAGAACAAATTTTTTTGTCAAATAAATAGATCAAATTTAATTATCATGTTTAATAAATTGGTTAAACTCAATTGATACCTAGCACTTCTAAAGTGCAACCAATGAGACGAACCAACCAAACACATAGTTATAGTTTTGTTTGCTTGAAGATAAGGTTGACTCCAATAAGATACAGTTGTTGACGTCAACTCGCTTTACTTCTTGTGAGAAAGTGTTCTTTTAAGTTACCTTGAATTTTATGGACTCAAAAAGAAAAGAAAGTGAAGATAACAATTATGATCGAAAACAATGAAGCAGCCCAACATCTCTAATTGCCCTCTTATCGTACATGTAAGTAATGTAACCATAAACTGAATAGTGTACGATTAAAATGACATGCATAACTTTCGGTTGGAAGTTGCCACCATGTGTCATTAATGTTGCAGTCATATCCTTTTTTTCCTCATATGTGTTTACATGTTTTATTACTAGTAAAAAAGTTAGGATAAATATTGCTAAGTGCCTACATTAATTAATGAATAAAAAAATAATAAAAATTAAGTATTTATTGTCTTCAAAATATAGAAAGTATTTAATGCCTTTTTAAAAGTAATTAAAGCAATTTAATAGGATGTATTAAATGTTTTTATTCAATAAGAACACTTGTTAACAAAACTTTCATGAGTTAAGAAGACATTCAGAGTAGTATATACTGTAATTTTTTGTGAAAACAAGATATTATTGAAATTTGATTCATATTATTAAATCTTTTTAAGAGTTCAAGTAACTTAAAAAGATATTTGGCGGAACTTTGCATAACATACATATAAAATACCAGTAATAGTCATATTTTTTACTTTCTTTTTTTCACAACACTCCATGCATTATTAAGACATAATAAGAGAGATAGAAAGAGAAGAGAGGTGTGATAAGATGATTAAAGTCAAAGATATAGAAATTATAAAAAAAAATGAATAAGAATAGTATTATTTATTTTGTGTGTTTAAAAAAATTGTAAAAAATGAGTAATAGTAGAATTATTTGTGTATATGTATGCGTGTACATGTGTAGGTATGCATCTTTTGTATATGTGTGTTTGTGTTTGTGTATGTTTGCATATGTTTATGTGTGGTGAAATTTTTTTGAAGAGCATATAATTGTGACATTTTTTTAGAGAAAGCATGAATTGTGACATTATTTAGAGAAAAAATGATTGTAACATTTATTTATTGGTTTAAATATATTTTTAATCTCTCAAATTTAGGATAAATTTATTTTTGACTTCTAAAAATTTAAAATTATTTTTTTTAGTTTATGTTATTTTCAAACATTTTGTTTTAATCTCTCACCAATAAAATATATGAAAATTACAAATTGAGGCAGTTATACAATATTTGCTAACTTTAGTGTTATGTTTTCATTAACAAAAACACCAATAAGTAGATTTTGTATGATAATATTGACAAATTCTCTAAATTTGAATATAAATACTAAAACAAGATTTTTTTTAAAAAAAGTTACAGGAATTAAAAATATCAATTTTTAAATTTGAGAGATTAAAAATAAATTTATCATAAATTTGAGAGATTAAAAATATTTTTAAATTTTATTTATTTATTTTTACTCTATTTCTTTCCTTTTTTATGTGCTTTCTTATCCAATTGAAATGAGAGTAAATATGACATATTTAAAAAAACAATTAAGAGTGGTCTCCTCAAAAAAAGCAAGTTAGTGGTCTGAGCAATTTTTTTTTAATTCAAATGGTGCGAGTTATGATATAAAAAATTAGAAATTTTGAACATAGCTTTCATTCTAATTTAATTTTATTTAAATAATACATAGAAAATTAGTTGTCCCCTAAAAAATAAATTGATAACGTACAGTACAAAAATTATCTTAATAAGCATATAGTTGTTATATTGAATTTAACCTTAATTCCATATTTGATCATAGACAATAATGAATAATTTTTTTTTTGAGTTTTATGTTATTTTTATCAACAAAAAAAAATTACGATAACGAGAGGATCCAAAAAGATGGGGTGGTTGGCACAAGTAACAAAGACACTAATTCCTACCACTGATTATGTCACCTTTTACTCTTCAATAATTTTAATTAGTTTGATTACTGGTCTGCTTACTCTTCTAATTTCAACTTTTTTTGGTTAGTCTATTTTATGCATGGCTCAGTGACGTCACAGATGAGGAATTGGCTTGTCATGTCTTGATAACCAAGAAATTTTTACTATAGTTTCCATATTACTTACGCGACTATATTATATTATATTATATATATATATATATATATATATATATATATTACACACATTACTCATTACACTTTGCATAATAATTAAGGGGGTAACTAATTAAGATGGCGAATGTTTCAGAGGGAACTTTAGAAAACACACCAACATGGGCTGTGACAACAGTTTGCTTCGTATTGCTAGTAATCTCTATTTCCATTGAGCAGTTGCTCCATCTTTTGGCCAGGGTATACATAATATTGTTACTATTGCTTCTTAATTTCTTCACCTATGTCATATGTATCATCTAATTATTTCATGTACTTCAGTATTTCAAAAGGAAGAGGAGGAAGTCACTCACTAAGGCCCTTGAAAAGATCGAATCAGGTATACATCGCATGAAGCATAGAGAAAAATGACTTGGTGCGTTTTCTTTAGTTTAAGATAAAGAAATTAAGTGACATGTGGTAGCTACTTAATTAATTTGCGTGTAGAATTGATGCTTCTGGGTTTCATGTCTCTGCTGCTAACGGTGAGTGAAAAACGGATTGCAAATATTTGCATAACAAAGAGTGTTGGTGAAACTCTTCTTCCCTGCGCAACCATGACTTTTGACGTGACCAAGGAAGAAACAAAATGTGCCGAGCAGGTATGCAAAAATATAACCATATATATACGTGTGTGCATGCTTGTGTATTCATCGATGTAATTTGGACTTGGAGGTTGGACTCAAGTTAGAACATGCTTATATGCATCACATAAGGCATGGTCATTGGAAATACGGAATATATCATCACATTGTACAAATAATACGAAAATAACTAATTTCTAACCAAGTACATATCTCTGATAAAATGTGTTAATTTTTGTAATCTTTTGAGTGGCGCATTTTCCACAGGGCAAAGTATCATTGGTGTCGAGGAAAGGTGTCCGAGAGTTGCAGTACTTCATCTTTTATCTGGCTTTGTGTCATGTTATTTCTTGCATTCTCACCTTTAGTCTTGGAATGGCGAAGGTGACTAATCTTTCCTTCTCTTTGACTTCTACACCAAGTTGAGGGTTTAATTAAAGCTAGTTAGGAATAACAGCATCTCCAATGGGGGTTGCTTATAAACAACTCCTGTGCTACATCATTGCTACATTAGCTCTGATTCACTTTATGGGTTACTTAAATTTTAGCAAAGTTGTTTCTACAAGTAACTTTGCTAAAATTTAAACAACCTATAAAGTGGGTCAGAGCTGATATAACAGTGATGTTGCATAAGAAATTGCTTATAAGCAATCCCCACTGATGCTCCTACACTGTTAACACAAAAGTGCCAAGTTTCTGTGGGTTAATTTTCTAGCACAAGGGGAAGTTGGACTTGTGTTTGACAAATTCACCTTTTTTTGTTGTGTCCTTCGAGGAACGCAGATGAGACGATGGGAGTCTTGGGAAGCAGAAACTAGAACATTGGAATATCAGTTTCAATATGGTAAGTCTTTGATATCTCATTTCTTACAAGACTTCTCCTTGTCCTTTGCTTATTAGTCAATCAAAAATATTAAGTCATGTCATAACATAACAGTTTGAATATGTTCTACAATTCAAAGATTTGAACATTTTATAAAATCGTAATTAAACTAAAATTATGGACCCTCAATATCCTTCAACGACTAAAATAGGATCTTATTTTGAAAAATAATAGTACATAGTTTCTTTTGTCTTTAAAATTTTAATAATCAACATATGATTTTCATCATTTCAATAAACATTATCTATATTAGTGAGGAGAGAGACACTATATGTCTCTATTATTTTTTTGAAAAAAAGGTGATTATTGATCATTAATGAGAGATTTACATAAAGTAGAAAAAATTAAATTAAAAAAATAGTGAAAGAGAGATAGTGAGAAAGAGTAGTTTGAAAGATATAATAAAAGTAAAACTATAAAAAAAAAAAAAAAAAATTGTGTACATCAAATCAGACTATATTTTTATATATGTTATGAAATAGATTATAGATAAAACTTAATTTCAATATTTATCATTTCATTCTTTGCCTTAATTTTGGAATGGTAGATCCACGGAGGTTTCAGCTCACACGTGAGACATCATTTGGGAAGCGGCATCTTAACTATTGGAGTAACAACCCTATACTGTTTTGGCCTGTAAGTTCAATTGTTTCAAGTTCTGAAATTTTATTTTAATCTATCTTCCTCTGTCATTATTGAGTGGTATTTTTTTTTTATCTTTACCCTTTCAATTTGTCCAGGTCTGTCTTGTTAGACAATTTTATAGATCTGTCCCCAAGGTTGATTACTTCACTCTTCGACGTGGATTCATCACGGTAATGCAAATTTGTTACTATTAAACAAGATTGGGTTCATATCATACATTTTGATAAGATTGTTATTGTAGCATGAGATATCTAAGTACTATTATTTTTGGTTGGGGCTATACTATTTTTCTAGGCCCATTTTGCAGAAGGAAGTAACTTTGACTTCCAAAATTTTATTAAACGGGCTTTGGAGAAAGATTTTGGAGTGGTAATGGGAATAAGGTACTAACTAGTAACTACCTATCATGACCTCAATAAAAGCGATTTAATCTTTTGTTGTCGATTGTCTTTTTCTAGTTCCAAAATTTATCAGAAATATAATTATATTTTGCAGCTGGTGGATTTGGATCTTCTCTGTACTGTACATATTCTTGAATGCAAATGGTAAGTATTGAACTATATAATTATATATGCTAAAAGAATACCCCATGATACAAATAACCTGCTCTATGACAACCAATATATAACTTGTATTTTATTTTCTCCTCTTTTCCTTCTTGCAGTATTCTACAGCCATTTCTGGTTACCGTTTAGTCCGCTAATGGTAAGAATATCTTAGTAGTGTAACCTTTTCCTTAGTCATGGTACTTTTGAGATACATATTAATATGTGATATTTTGTGTTATGTTCTTCAGGTGCTTTTGTTGGTGGGAACAAAGCTACAAGGCATTGTAACACATATGTGTTTGGATAGTGATGACAAATCCCAAATAATCAAAGGAAGTTTGCTTGTGAGGCCCAGTGACCACTTTTTCTGGTTTGGATGGCCCAATCTGCTGCTTCATCTCATTAGCTTCGTATTGTTTCAGGTTTTTCTTTACCTTACTATCATACAATTTTTTATTCTTATTCTTCCAAAACATGTGTTCATATAAACTCATAAGACTGTTTTGCATCATGCAGAATTCCTTCCAAGTAGCATTTTTCACATGGACTTCGGTATGTTCCCTATTTTCTTCACTTGGAAAAATAATAATAATAAAAGAACATAGGCAAACTTGAATTCATAAAGGAAAACTTCAAAAAAAATAATGGAGAGATGATTTATTAAATTAAAATGAAAATACTGTATAGCCTGAGCTAGAACGGTATTGTGTATACTATTGATCATTGGATGAATACTTGGTACTCACTACTTTAATTTTATTTAATCACCTTTTAGCTGTGTGACACTGCTTAAAATAAAATAGAAAAAAAAAAAACATAACAAAAACAAACAAGGGTGTGAAGAGTTTTATTTAATTGTGTTATAATATTGTTTTCTGCTGAGTACAGATCCGATTCGGGATCAGATCATGTTTTCATCGAGGAATTGAGAATATCATCATAAGGGTAGCAATGTGTGTTTCGGTACAAATCCTCTGTGGCTATGTAACACTACCTCTCTATGCTTTGGTAACTCAGGTACATTTTGGTAACTCAAGCCTTAACTAATATAACTCGTGCAGTTATTTTCGTGGGCATCATATATTTTATCTGTTACTTAACTACGATTTTTGCCATTTGATGAAAAAACATGATACTTAATTTGTTAACATCTTATTTTCTACTAATCTTTTGTTACATAACATGCAATATGTAACAGATGGGTACCTCAATGAGCAAGGATGTGTTTGCGGAGAATGTGATTAGAGGCATCCACATTTGGCGTGAGAAGGCGAAAAAGAATGTGGCTCATAGGAATCCACATTCACAAGACTCATCTTTAGACACTTCCCTTTCGCTTGAAATTTCACTAGAGTCACCTTCTTTCAGGTTTGATGTATCCACCTCCATTTTAATGGATCGTTCATCAGATGATAATAAGCACGTGGCTGTTACGGAAGAAAATATATCGAGTGAACAACTAGGTTCATTTCAAGGATTTCATCTGCAAAACACAGGAAAACCAAGGCAATTTTGAAAAACATTTATATGCTTTGTAGCTAGCTACTCACCATTCTTGGAGATATGTATCAATGATGAGTTAAGAGTTAAACTCATTCTTATAAAATTTTCTTATAGGCTCTATTTGGTTCAAGGGAAGGGAAAGGAGTAAAAAGTTAAAATTTTTGTTTAGTTGAGAGGAGAAAATAAAAGGGAAAAGAAAGATCTTAAAAACAAATTTATCTTTATATCCTTATAATTTTAAATTAAAAAAATATAAGTAAGAAAATTGTAAATATCATACTACAAATGTTTTAAAATTAATTCCTGTCTTCCAAATTTTTCAATATTAAAAGAGAGCTAAAATTAGGTTATGAGAAATTTTGCTCTCATTCTTTCTTAGAATTTGAATTAAAGAAGACAAATTTAAAAAAGAAAAAAATTCTCATCCCCTCCCATTCAACCAAACATAGTGGTAAAATAAAAATTGATTTTCACTTGTATAGATTATATTAGTTATATATTGCTAATTGATTAGGTCTCCAAGAGTTAGTTTATAACATGAGTTCTGATTAATTGTGATTAAATTGTTTTACACCTTAATTGTGATGAATTTTTTTTTTTTTTTTGAGGGGAATTGTGATGAATTAAGTACTTAAGAATTTAACTATTGTCACCTCAATTATCCAGTCCAATGATTATGACAATTTCTTACAGTATTATCGCATATGTACAAATGGATAGATTGTGCAAAGACTCTTGTTGGCATGAAATTTATTTTATTAATAAGTTGTTAGTTTGAGTAATAGGGAGTTTTTTTTTTTCTTTCTTTTTTATACCTTTCTTTCACTCTGTGAGCTTTCATTCCTTGTCCTTGGGCCGTTTTTGATGCAATGTCGACCCTTCGTTTCTAAGGTTGTTGGCCGTTTGCCATTTTGTCTTGCCTCCATGACCACATATATCACAACACCACCAACATCAAATCCCTTTGGATGTTATTTTCTTACTTCTTTGAGACTGCGAATTACGAAAAATCTTTCTAGATTCGACGATCGGTCCTTATTGTGTTACTATCCTAATTAAATTAGTTTTGAACAACCTTTTGAGAAGAAGTGAAGAACCTTCAGGCAAGAGGGTCGAATCGTATAGTTAGAGTTGAAAAATCACAAGTTGTGTTGGATGAATTGACGGAGACCAATTAGTGCTAAAACCATTTGGATTGACTCGAGCATAAGAAGTTATTTAATATCATTGCTATAGGTTTACTTGTAAAAAAACTTATTTATTACTAGTATTTATGAAACTTTTTTTATCATTATTAGCTGACCAAGCCCATAACTAGCATATATATGTTTTTGAAATTCAATTGCCATATATTGTTAGCACTTAGCACCCGAAACATGGTTGGACTTCAAAATCTTATACTTTCTCCTTACTTGTTGAATTGCTATATAAATGAAAAAGACGTGAAAATATTATAGAGTCACAGGAGTGGCATTATTGGGGGAAAATGTTTAGATCGTGCTATCATATTCGCTTTCAGGGTAGTAGATATTGGGATACTTTCGTCACTGGATACGTCATCAACCTCCAATAAAATGACGTGCGTAAAATGTGCGGGATGATTTGTGTGCGTGATTGATTGGTCTATAAATATTTTAGTGATTACCCAATACCCATTGGAAAGTCAAATTTTGCGTACAAAGGAAATTTGGAATAATGTGGATATTGGATTGTGTGGCCCCTTTTCTAGATTCTTTATAAACTATGGTATACCCCAGGTTGAGTACATGGTTTTAAGTTACATCGCTTAACATGGGGCGAAAGGGATTGAATGGAGAAGATAAGGGACAGATGAGATGATGAAATAATATGCATAACTTATTTTATTTGTTTCCATGCTTTTGCTGGCCAAAGACTTGGAAAAGCAGATAAAGGTTGTCTAGAAAGAAATTGAATGAACTATGTATTCAGCAAGGACTTATCAACAATAGTGATGATGTATAGGATTATCTATTGTGCCACCTAGCTTGCATTTCTGACTCCAATAGTCAATAGACAAAAGGGTTTTCTCGGTGAAAAGTGTTATTATTGATACTTTGATGTATACATATACCGTACACTTGGAGGTTCCATCCTTAGAATGAAGTGATTTGGTTAAAACTTAAAATCACACTCCCTATCACCCATGTTAACTCTTTAAGTCTTAATAATGATCATAGATTCGTGATATTGCAACCTAATCTGTCAGCAAAATCATTCAAAACTCAAATGAAATCTCTTTTGCGAGTGCATTAATTGAAATTCTGATTTTAGGCTAATGTTCACATACATGGTTTTTTATAAATAAATAAATAAATATATGCTAAATTAATTATAAGTTGAAATAATTTTTGTATTAAATAAAATTTATATTAAAATTTTACTGCCACCATAAATTTATATTAAAAATATTTAAATATAAATCACATCATATCAAAATCAATTTTAACTAAAACTAATTTTCAAAATCTAGTTTTCATCGCATCGTTATTGCAGTAACACGCGGATACAGGAGGGGAGTTCGAAAACATATCCTGGACAGAGAAGACAAACGCGTTCAGGTGTAAGATGCAAGAGAGGGCCATCATTTAGAATAACTTTTAAAAAACAATTATAAATATCTATATTTTAAAATAAAGAGATTAAAATCATAGATTAAAAAAGATTAAAATTCCGATTTAACTAATAAATTAACGAGTTATGCAGTGTATTTATAAGATAATCTTAATTATATTTTATTTACTTAAGCTAAAGAAATAACTAAATTTATAATATATATATATATATAAAGATGATAATATGTTTATTACTTTATCTCAATTTTTACTTTATCTTTAATAAAGACACAAAGTGTCTCGATTTTACTAATATATATGAAGGAGTCCATCACTACCTTTTTGATTTTCACTATTTTTAAGCAAATTTACATTTAAATAATTATAAAGAATAACATATAATCACTCATATATAAAAAAAATGTAACTACCTATATATTTTGTTTTATATAATGTTTTTTTAGTAGAGATACAAAGTGTCTCTTCTCCTAATAATCTATATATAGAGAAATCAAATTAATTTAAGTTATTAAATTATTTCACTCAATAACTCATTATGTATATTAAATTTTAATAGTTTATATATATATATATTTTTTTTAATAGAAATACAAAGTGTTTCTTCTCCTAATAATTTATATATATATATATAAAGAGAGAGAGATCAATTTAATTTAAGTGGTTAAGTTATATCATTTAATAACTCATAATGTATGTTAAATTTTAATAGTTTTATATAATACTTTTTTAATAGGGATACAAAGTGTCTCTTCCCTTAATAATCTCTCTCTCTATATATATAGAGAGAGAAAGAGAGATATCAAATTAGTTTAAGTGGTTAAGTTACTTCACTCAATAACTATATGTTGAATTTTAATAATTCAACCGTTAAATTAAAAGATTTTAATGCAAATATCAAGTTTACAAATTTTTAAAAATTTTGAAAACTATTTGATAATTCGTTTTACTAATTCAAATTGATAAATAATCATAAAAATATTTTATACATTAATTTGAATCTATATAATGAAGTATCACATAATTTTTAAATTCTTTAAAAATTCATAAATTTAATTTATATATTAAAAATTTTTAATTTAACGGCTAGATCATTCAATTTTAACATACACTATGTATATTAAGTAGAATAACTATACTAAAAATTATTCTTAAAGTAATTTAAAAAAAAATATTTGATACTTCATTTTATTAACTTGATGAATAATCATAAAACTATTTTTATATTGATTTGAATTAATGAAATAGAATATCAAATAATTTTTAATTTTTTTAAAAAATTATAAACTTTATCTATATATTAAATTTTTTTAATTTAATAATTAAATTATTAAAAAAACGTAAAACATAAATTATTAAATATAATAAATCTATACAAATTTACTTTTAATATATATATATATATAAGGAGTCAACGATGGTGTTGTCATAGTAGGGTGTGTAACATGCACAATGTAATAGTAGAACAGCCATCTACTTTAGACTAAATACATATTTGACGTCATTCTATTGTTATTTCTCTTTCGGTGGGCGCGGGTTCTTCTTATTCTCTGCTTTCATTATTTTTTATATAGTTTTATAAATTTTGTTTATTAAAGTTTTTATATTCAATAATATTTTAATATATATATATATATATATATCTATTTTTAATTCTTATAATTTTCACAAAATTTATATCTTAGTCTATATAGTAATAAATAATAAAGACTAAAAGAAAAGAAAATAATATTCATAAGACAAAAAATTGAATTTTTAAATATAGGGACTAAATTTTTTTTTATGAAGTTACAGAAATTAAAAAGATAAATAAGCATTTGTTTAAGAACATCTTTCAGTCAAAAATTAAAAAATAATCTCTTAAAATATGAATAAATTAATCTCTCACCAAATATTTTTTTCATACACAAATATTAAATCTTTACTTATACTTGAAAACATAGTTATTTGTCAACTCACTGTACTATATCATATTGGTGTAAGGAAAGGCAACTTTATGCACGAGTCAGATGGACAATCGTCCAAAACTCCTTTTTTAGAGAGGCATGAAAAATAATATTTATTATATGTATTAAAAATAAAATTTACATAATTTAATTATATGTAAAAATTATTATAAAAATAATTAATTGTGAGCAATTAATAAATTGATATATAATGTTTTTGTTTTGCAACAAAAATCTATTCATAAATTTGAAAAACTTCACCGTACAGTTTTAAGAAATAAATAAAAAAAATATTAATAAAAAAGTGAGATATATTATTAACTTTTTTTTATTTTTTTTACACAAGTCTTCCTAAATGTTAGCAATTAAAGTCATTTATAAAGATTACCTTATGTCTAATTTTTTTATTCTATCTTTATTCTTTTATCTTATTTATCGTTGTAATCTTTTGTGTGATATATTTACTTAGATTCTGCCGTATTGTAATTTGTGCCGTGATTTCTTTTGTTGCTGCTCTAATGGTCCTTGTTGCCTCCAACAAAAAATTGTCACACGCCGATACTAAAAAGTAAAAACCACCGAGGAAATGACAACTTTGATAATAAAGCAAAGTCAATCTTAC